ATGATGGTATACTTAGACAACATTAGAGAGTCAACTAAAAAAACTAGTCAAAGCAATTTACAATTTTAGCAAAGTTGTAAAATAAACCCACACAAATAATTATTTTTTATGTTACCAACAAAATCCAGCAGGAAGAGGTAGAGAGAGAAATTCCATTTAAAATAACTAGAGACAGAATAAAATATATGGAAGTCTACTTATAAACACATACAAACAGGAATTATATGAATTACAATCATATAGCAAGACACAATTAATTGCAAAACTCTTCCCACACATAAAGACAGACACAAATAATTGGAGAAATAATATTTTTTCATAGGTAGGCCAAACCAATATAATAAAAATGACAATACCACCTAGATTAATTTACTTATTCTATGCCATACTGATCAAACTACCAACACATTGATTTATAGAGCTGGAAAAAATAATAACGAAATCCATCTGGAAAAATAAAAGGTCAAGAATATCAAGGTGTAAGCAATTAAAAAACAGGGAGGAGAAAGGGAGCCTAGCCATACCACATCTGAAACTATGCTACAAAATAATGATCACCAAAACGATTTGGTACTAGAGAAGAAATAGAGTAGTTGGTCAGTGGCATAGACTACACAATATATAGAAGCAAAGGAGCACAGTGACCTAGGGTTTAATAAACCCAAAGATTCTAGCTACTGGGGCAAGAACTTATCTGACAAAAATTACTGAAAAAACTGAAAGTTGTGTGGCAGAAATTGGGCACAGACCAACATCTCACATCATACAACAAGATAAGATCCAAATGGGCATATGATTTAAATATAAAGGGTGATATCATAAGCAAATTATGGAAGCATGGATGAAATTACTTGTCACATTTATGGATAGGGGAAGAGTTTATGACCAAACAAGAGAAAGGTTTACAGGAGGTTAAATGGATAATGTTGACTACATTAAATTTAAAAGATTTCACACAAACAAAACCAATGCAGCCAAAATTAGAAGAAGAGCAGAAACCTGGGGAGGAGGTGGGGAATCTTTGGATCAAGTTTCTCTGATAGATATTTCTTTTCTCAATATATAAAAGATAAAGACATTTATAAGAATAAAAGTCATTCTCCAATTGATAGTCAAAGGATATGAACAGGCAGTTTTCAGAGGAAAAAATCAAAGCCATCAATCATCACATGGAAAAAATGCCCTAAATCATTAATAATTAGAGAAATCCAAATTAATAAAACTCTGAGGTACCACCTCACACCCTAAGATGTGACCAGAAAATGACAAATACTGGAGAAGATGTAAGAAAATAGATGCATAGTAATGCACACTGCTGATGAGTTAGTCCAACCATTCTAGAAAGCAATTCAGAGCAATGACTAAAATGTTATTAATATCTTTTGACCCTGAAACATTGCTACTAGCTCCATATCTCAAACAGATTAAAGAAAAAGGAAAGATATTTATAGCATATCTTTTTGTGGTGGCAAAGAATTGGAAACCAAGGGAATACCCATCAAGTGGGCTAAACAAGTTATGGTATATGAAAATAATGAGTTACTGTTCTGCTGTAAGAATAATGAAGGGGACAATTTCAGAAAAACTTGGCAAGACTTATGTAAACTGATGTAAAGCAAAGTGAACAGAACCAGGAGAAAAATCTATACAGTAACTTAAAACACACCTCACTTAAGTAGAGGAATCCCTAAGGTGAATCAAACAAATCAGTGACTCTAGGAGGAAACAATAAATAATAGAACAAAATAAAAAGATAAAAAAAGAATGAAATGTAAAAACCTACTGCTTTAAAAAAAAATACCACCTGGAAAAACGTGTTAGAAGGCAGAATTTGCAAAATCATCATACTTCCTGAAAACAACAAACACAAAAACCTGGATACCATATTTTAAGAAATCATAAATGAAAAACTGCCTAGATCTATAAGAACCAAAGGACAAAGTAAAAATAGAAAGAATCTCCTATTCACCTCTTGAAAGAAATCCCCAAAATCAAAACTTCCAGGGATTTCATAACCAAAATCCAGAGCTATTAGGTAAAAGAAAAATATTGGAAGCAGCCAAAAAAGAAAGAAGAGTGTAAGACCAAGGAACTAAATTAACTCCAGTAAAGGAGAGAAAAAAATTTTTTTTAATTGTATTTTACTACTAATTCATTTTATTGGTTTTTCTTTCATTTATTGTGAGAGAATAACAAAGAATGACCAACTGAGGAGTAGTAGGAAATGTGGCATAGTAGAGTAATAGATAAGCACAAAAGATTCTGTTTGTACAAACTGGATCATAGACAACAATCCTCAGAGCAGCCCATGAAGTATTGCCATTATTATAGGAGACTGATGCTTATATACAACAGGAACAAGGAAAGGATCTAAATGAAATTAAGGAGAGGTAGATGAAATAGTGAAAGGAATATCAGTAGGCTAATTAGATGATCTAGGTGGGATTAAGGAGTGATCCATAGTAAGCAGTCTGTGAATAAGTAACAAGTAGTCTGGGGTGGGCCAAATATGACAATGAAAGGAATGTCAAGTAAACTAATTAGGTGATCAAGTAGTCTGGGGTGAGCCAGTGATCTGGACTGCTATAATGTATGGGAAAATTCAGGAAGTGGGTTGCTTTCAAAGACATGGTCTTTTCATTTTACAGGTCCAGGTCCCATCATCCCATCAGGATACCAGACTTAGAATTAGAAGTCCTAAATTTAAGACCCAACTCTGCAATTTATTAACCATGTGACCTTATTGATTGGGTGATTCATTTAACTTCTCTGTGAGCCTCAGTTTCTTCATCTATAAAATGGGGATAATAATGTTTTCATTACTTACTCCACAAGGTTGTAATAAGGAATACATTTTGCAAATCGTGAAGCCAGCTTCCAGGTCAAGAAGACCTAGGTTAAAGGCCTACTTCTGACATGCACACACTGGCCGTGTTACACTTAACTTTGCAACTCTCTAAGACAGAGGTGCTTAACCTTTTTGTGTGTGCATCATTAATTTCTTTGGCAGTCCAAAAAAGCCTAGATACCCTATCATTTTGATGATAATCTTTTTAAATGCATAAAATAAAATACATAAGATTACAAAGAAAACCAATTGAAATGCAGTCATTAAAATATTTTTAAAACAAGGTTAACAATGTCTGCTCTCAGAATCTAAATTGCAGAGCAGGTATTAATCTACATTAGTAATGGGAGTTTCATGATTGGGAGTTCTCATTCTAATGAAATTACAGGTTCATCCCACCCTGCCCAAATGTAAATATTAGCTATTATCTTCCTTTTTTCTTTATTATTCTTACCAAATGCAAGCATTTAATAGCAAGTCTTTTGGTAGTGGTCCTGTTCTAACTACAGAACATATAGTTCCCTGTTGTATTCTCACATTTCAATACCACCACCACTCCTCTCCACCCCTAAGATATCTTTGGATGCTTCTTCAGTCAAGAGGCTACCTGGATATATATATAACTTCTGCCCTATAGATATACAAATGATTTGCAAAGTGATGTAACAACAACAACAACAATAATAACAGCTGCTAGCAATTATATAGCACTTTAAGGTTTGCAAATGTGTCATTTTATCCTTGGACAACAATTATAGGAGGTCAGTGCTCTTATTATGTGCATTTTACAGATAAGGAAACTGAAATAGACATTTAAGTGACTTGCCCTAGCATACCCAGTGTCTAAGGCTGGATTTGAATTCAAGTCTTTCTAACTCCAAGTTCAGTGCTCTATCCAATATACAGTCTAAATAATTTCCCAGGAGCTCCATACATCACTAATTTAGAGTGCTTCATCGCTTAACTGAGCCTCTATATTCAAGTGACTAGTACAGAAGAAAAATTAGAATAATATATGCCTATCTCAAAACTTTGGGTTTAAATTTTCCCATTTCCACTAACCTCCCTGGTCTGAAATATCTGTAATTATTAATAATTATTTGATAATTTTGTTCACTCCAAGAGCCTCGTTAAAGTCATTTCTGTAAGATAATCAGGAGTTCTCAGTATGTGCCATATGCACATACTACAATCCAAATAAAAACCAGACTAACATAAGCAAAAATTATACTGTAGGATACACAAATCACATCAGAATTGGACAATCACAAACTGAGTCACAAGAAAGTCTGTGGTTATAAATTACAACTGTCCTTGTAAGGGTTAGGGCTAGGAGAAAGGAATCAATAACACCTTTAGTTCAGTATTGGTGGGGAGGAGGGAGAATTTTCCTGAAGTTTGGCCCTTATGTACCAAAATATAATATTGGTGTGTGCTATATGTTGAATATTGTGGTACCCATTACATCAACATCCTTAAAAGGCCCCCATCACTGCTCTTAGGCTACTTGTTGGAGCTTTGTATGGCAATGAGAGAGGTAAAAAATGGCTGAATGAATTTAAACTTCGTTTTCTTTTTCACATTATTTTCTCAACTTGTTTCTGGCCTACCCACCAACCAAAATTCAGATCCACATCTTTTGTCTAAAAACAACAGGGTTTTTTTTTTCTTTTTTGAGTTAAGGGGACAATTCCAGAAAAATATGGATGAATTAAAAAAAGAGGCTATGAATTAAACTTTTAGCTATACTTAACATGACATAGCTAAACATAGCTATACTTAACTATACTTAGTAGAGCTATCATTTTCATCTTCTAGCTATTTGGAATAATAGGCATAATAATGTTCCCTGCTCCTACTTAGTTCCAACCATAGTAGCAGGACTCAGAAAAGGGGACAACAGTGGATTATATGACTTTTACCATGGTTTCTTTTCAAGCCAGGGGGACTATTTCAGAAGAGTATGAATAGATAAAAAGAGAAGGTTATAAACTAAACTTTTGACATTGGAACTATTTGAATTTAATTATTTCTGAAGTCAAATAAATTTGTTCTTTTTTTTATCATTGATGTTTCATTAAGTCAGTAATTTTGAATGATATCTAAATTGATAATAGAAAGTATTAATGAAATTTTTCTTTCAATTGAGTAGGAAGTTGATGTTATTAAATCTTGTCAAGAAAGAATGAGGCAACATCTGGACAAGGCCATTGCTCAACTTGCGTAAGAAAGAATTTTATCCTTTTTTTTATTGGTGGGTTTTTAAATTTGTAATCTATATATTTTTTATAACCTCCCATCCTAATTTCTTTTAAATTTTAATACAAAAGTATAATAAAATCCTACAAGAAGCCAAGATGCCCATTATAGTTGTAAGTAGCTTGTTGCTTTCAAACAAGTTAGAATCAACTTCATAAGAAGATACTGTCAGGGATGCCACATAAAGGATTTATGCACTGTGTGGAAGGTTACAGTAGAAGATCTCTAAGGATTCTTTCAACCTTAAATTCTCAGATTCTATAATATAAAAGTGAGTTGTGTATGTTATAGGTGAAAACCAGAAATGTTCTAGAATGAAGAGAAAGAATTTAAGCAAGGTCATCTTATCCTTTGATAACAAGTATTTATTAGTATATAAAGTTTTATTGGCTAAGCCTAAGGAGGCTTACTTTAAGTGTGAAATCCAAATGCATTTTCATTTCTTTTTTGGATACAGAGGGAATTAAGGCTGAATATCTCATGAAAGTAGAAGTACAAATAGAAACCAAATTAACAAATTTATGCTTTTGCCTTTCCTGATGTGCACATTAGAGTTTTTCGGTCTTTGACTCTATGTTTTATATGTTTATGTCTATATTCATAGGTATAGATCTGTAGATATTTACCACATACAAACTTTACCATTGTCTTAAAACTCTAGGAAGCTGTTAAGTCACTCTCTAAGACAAAAACTAACTTCTCCCAGATTTGGCTATCACAAGATCTCAGAGTGCAAGGGACCTCAGAAGCCATCTATTTAAACTAAACAAGAAGCCATTCTAAAACCTATCTCAGAATGGTCAGCCAATCTCTGCTCAAATACTATTAGTGAGAAGAGAACCTACTTCCCACTTCCTACTGAAGCAGTTCATTCCAATTTTGGATTCTTTTGTTAGGAAACTCTTCATTGTATCACATTTATATCTCTCTCTTTACAACTGCCACCTGTTGTTTCTAGTTCTGCCCTGTCAAATGAATAAATCGAATCCCTTTTCCACAAGACAGACTTGACTTGAACACATCTCTCTTAAATTTTCTTTTCCAGACTAAACTTGCATCCTTCCTAAGATGTGGTCTGACCAGAAACAGAGTATAAGAGTCCCTGAGTCTTAATTATTATGCCTCTCTTAATGTAGCCTAAGGGTTCACGAGCTTTTTTGTTGTTGTTGTTCACATATAACACCACTGATTTATTGTGAGTTTGTATTACATTAAAGTCTTCAGAGCTTTTTCAGTTGAACTACTATTCAGCCCAGTATCTTGTACTTATGAAATTAATTATTTTTAATTCAAGTGTAAAATGTAACATTTATCCCTATTAAATTCAGCCCAAAGTTCAAATCAGATATTTCTTTGGCTCCTAACTATATCACCTAACATGTTAGCTATCCCCGATAGCATTGATCCATATGAGTTTACCAAATCATTCATATGACTTCTAATTTGAATTAGTACATTTATTATCATTGACATAATTTTTCAAAGAAAGTTCCTCAATTTTCAGAATTTCCTGGGTTATTCATGTAGGGCATTTAAAAACATAAGCTCTAGGATTCATTCATAATGGACCAATACTCAGTTGTGGAAAGCACACTTCTTTATTAAAGGAAAGTTCAGGCCATAAACAACTTAATAGCTTCTGGCCTTCAAATGTGCTCCTCCTTCACCCTCTCCTTTTCATTTTCTCCATTTCAATCATTTGACTTTATCTCAGGAATGAGCCCTTCAAGGAAAAGTTTTCATTATCTGATATTTAGCTTCTTCTCTACCTCTTTTCTTCTGTACCAGGACTACAGTCTTGAAGGTACCTGGGAATTCGTTTTGCAAACACGTTACACCCTCCTCCTCAAAACCCACCTCTAAGTTGTCTGAACTTAAGAACTCTGGAAACAATTTAAGAAGAGTTTCTGCTGATATAAAATACATTGAATTGACTGCTGAGCAGCATGAGAAACTGAAGAAATAGTTATTTTCTATCCTTCCCTGTTGAGTGGTATTGTAGAAAAAGCACTAATATTCAATCAGATGGCTTGTGATTGAGGCCTGAATGGGATACTAGTTTTCATACTCATATGACCTTGGGCAAATCACTTAACCTCTCTCACCCTCCATTTATTCACCTGTAAAATAAAGACACCAGCAACTTATACAACTTACCCTCATATGGTTGTTGTGAAAAAAGTGTTTTTAAAATTTTGAAGCTCTACATAAATTTGTCCTATTATTTTAAATTAATTACCAAATCCTTTAAATACTTCCCTTATTTCTTACATCTGTCCCATCCTTTCTATTCCCATTGGGACCACCCTAAATCCAGGTAGGGTCTTCTAACTCCAGTCTCTCTCCCCTTTAATATGTCCTACATATATCACTTCCAGACTGATTTCTTTAAAACAGCAATTCTAAGAGGTTATTCCATTGCTCAGGAACCACCAGTTCTTCTCTCTTCGTATAGTACAAAGTCTGGACTACTTAATCTGGTATTCAAGGCTCTCCTTAATCTTGGCCCACCATATCTAACCCTCTAGCCCCCAATATGAACCCTTTGTTGGATCCAGACCAGCCTCCTTATTGTGTCAGAACATTACTAGCTCTAAGCCTTTGCTTATGTTCTTCTTATCTAAGATGCTCTTCTTTCTCCTCTCTGTCTTTCCAAATCCTACCCATCCTTCAGTGAACAAAACAAGCATTTATTAAGTTCTGACTATAGGCCAGGCACTGTATTAAGCATAGGGAATACAAAGGCAAAAATGAAAAAGGACCTGCCATTAAGGAGTTTATAATCCATATGCAGAAAGAAATATATATAAAACTTAGATTGGATATATATAGTATATACACTATTACACATAGTACATATAGAATATATATATAGGAGATAGATATATATATACATACATGCATATATACACACATGCATATATACACATATATGTATATATATGTATATACACACAAACATACATATATACACACACATACATACACATAAATAAAGAAGCTACTAAATCTTGGGTTATCCTGACTGTGGCTCCACGATACTTGAACTGTTTCTTTCTGGCTGCTTGCAATATTTTCTCCCTGAAATATATATATATATATATATATATTATTTATATACACACACGCATATATACATACACATATATGCTTGTATATACATACATGGGTGTGGGTGTGGGTATGGATGTGGGTGGATGTATTCTACCTCTGAGAGGTTCCTTGACTATCAAATCCTATGCTGATCTCCTCCATTTCTTAATTCCATTTTATTTATTTATTTCATATCTTTAGGACTTGTTTCCCCAAATGAATTGTAAAATTCTGGAAGTCAGGATTCTCTTACGTCTCTTTTGTGTCCTTAGTGCCTAGTATTGAGTCAGTGAATAGATGGTTTTATCTGTTTGGTTCTAAGAAGATTTTAAAGGATGCACACACACATACACACATATGCATGCACACATACATAGATACACACATATAGATATATATGTAAATAGTTTAGACCTTAATTACCACTTCAAATCATGTAATAAACACATATTGATTACTGATCCCATATGTGTAGAGAAAAATATAGTAGTAGAAGTAGAGAAAAATATAAAACAATATGGGAAGCTCTTATAGGGATAGTGAGCATCATTCCAACTAAGTAATCGTGCTGGACAGGGGGAAAGCAATTTTGTCACCTCTCACTATATTCTCCTCACTCTCCAAGTAAGTTGGCAAGAACCACTAGGATCTTCATAAATTAACTGCAACCACTACTAAGTTATGTATAGACTTAAAGTGCTATGAGAATTCAGAGAAAGGGTATTCAAGTAGACTAGAGTGATTAGAGAAAGCTTCATGTAATAGTAAATAGAAGTAGTAAAAAAGCAAGATTGAATTGTTGAGGTGGCCTTTATGTAGAACACTAAATTTGAAGTAAAATGATAATACTTTTATATTTATATAATATTTATATATATTATATAAAAAGTAGACTTGGACCTAAGAGAACTAGCTTTTAGTCCTGGATTTGACATAATCCTAGTGATATTGGTCAAGTCACTTAACCTCTCTGAGCTTTCAGTATCCTCATCTGTAGAATAGAAAAAATCATATCTACCCTTTCTATATCACAGAAGTGCTGTGAAGAAATATTTTAATGCATTTTGGAAAAAAAAGTATAAAATGCTTATGAATGTAATATATTCATGATTTTATATGATTAACTTTCTATTCTGTTCTATATAGTTTCTAATTATATGGATTGCAATATTATTTTTTTATTTTTAAAATTTATTCATTTTATTTTTCCCAGTTACATGTTAAAATAATTTTTAACATTTGTTTTTAAAACTTTTGAGTTCCAAATTCTCTCCCTTCCTACCTCTCCACCTTCCCCCACTGAGAAGGCAAGCAATTCAATATAGGTTATACATGTGTGGCCACGTAAAACACAACCATACTAGTCATGTTGTTAAAAAACAAAACACTTAAGAAAAATAAAGAATGTTTTAAAAAAAGTACACTTCAGTCTGTATTCAGGCACCATCAGTTCTTTCTCTGGGAAAAGACAGCATTTTTCATCCTAAGTCCTTCAGAGTTGTCTTGGGTCATTGTATTGCAAGAATAGCTAAGTCATTCACAGCTGATCATCTTACAATATTGCTGTTACTTTGTACACAGTACATGTCACTTTACATCAGCCCATGTAAGTCTTTCCCGGATTCCTGTTTACCTTTTTATGCTTCTCTTGAGTCTGGTATTTGAAAGTCAAATTTTCTGTTTAGCTCTGGTCTTTTCATTAAGAATGCTTGAAAGTTCTCCATTTCACTGAATTTTCACTTCTTCCCCTGAAAGAGTATACTCAGCTTTGCTGGGTAGGTGATTCTTGGTTATAATCCTAGCTCCTTTGACCTCCAGAATATCATATTCCAGGCCCTCTGATTCTTTACCCTCTGGTTCTAGAATATCAGGGCAGTTTTCCTTGATAATTTCTTGAAAGATAATGTCTGGAGTCTTTTTTTGATCACAGATTTCAGGTAGTCCAATACTTTTTAAATGATCTCTTCTGGATCTATTTTCTAGGTAAGTTGTTTTTCCAATGAGACATTTCACATTGTCTTTTTTTTTTCATTTTTTGGTTTTGTTTTATTGCTTTTTGATTTTTTTATAAAGTCATCTGCTTCCATTTGCTCCATTCTAATTTTTAAGGAACTATTTTCTTCCGTGAGCTTTTGGACCTCCTTTTCCATTTGGCCAGTTCTGCTTTTTTAAGGCATTCTTCTCCTCATTGGCTTTTTTGGACTTCTTTTGCCATTTGGCATAGTCTGTTTTTTAAGTTATTTTCTTCTAGGTAGGTGTCTTTGTGTGTGTGTGTATGTGTGTGTGTGTGTGTGTCTCTTTTACCAAGCTGTTGACTTGTTTCTCATGATTTTCTTGCATCACTCTCATTTCTCTTCCCAATTTTTCCTTTGTATCTCTTACTTGATTTTCAAAATCCTTTTTGAACTTTTCCATGCCTGAGACCAATTCATATTTTTCTTGGGGCTTTGGATATAGGAGCTCTGACTTTGCTATCTTCTTCTGAGTATGTTTTTTTAAAAATAAATTTATTTATTTTTAGCTTTCAACAATCACTTCCATAAGATTTTTAGTTCCAAGTTTTTTCCTGTCTCTCTCCTCCCCTCAACCCAAGACAGTGTGTAAATTGATATAGGCTCAACATATATATTCATATTAAACCTATTTTCACCTTAGTCATGTTGTAAAGAATAATTAGAACCAATGGGAGAAACCATGAGAAAGAAGAAACAGAAAAAGAGAGAGAGAGAGTAAATAATATTCTCCAATCTGCATTCATGACTCCGTAGTTCTTCTTCTTGATGTGGACAGTATTTTCTGTTATGAGTTTTTTAGAGTTGTCTTAGATCCTTGCATTGCTAAAAAGAGATAAGTCTATCAAAGTTAGTAATCACACAATGTGGCTGTTCCTGTGTACAATGATCTCCTGGTTCTGCTCACTTCACTCAGCATCAGATCATATAAGTCTTTCCAGGTTTTTCTAAAGTCTGCCTGCTCATCATTTATTATAGCACAATAGTATTCCATTACATTCATATACCACAACTTGTTCAGCCATTCATCCCCTCAATTTCCAATTTTTTGCCATCACAAGAGGAGCTACTATGTGGGTCCTTTTTCCCATTTGTATGATCTCTTTGGGATACAGACCTAGAAGTGGTATTGCAGGGTCAACTGAATGTGTGTTTTGATCTTCCTTATCACCATAATAACTTTCTATAGTCAGAGGTGTTTTTTTTTCATTGTCTGCTCATTTCCCCGGCCTACTACTTGATTTTAACTATTTGTTAAAGTAGGGCTCTGCTTCTAGGGTGGAGGGCACATTGTCCCAAGCTTCAGGGGTTTTATGGAGCTGTTTTCAGAGATATTTCTAGGGACCTGTAAATTTTCAGTTCTTCCAAGGTGGTATGATCTGAGGAGAGGTGTTTACTCCTTTCCTGGCCTGTGCTCTGGTCTGTGAGTGACCACAAGCACTCTTTTCTGCCCCGGAACTGTGAGGAGGGTTCCTCCATCCACTGTGACTGCAAGCTCTTCTATGCTAGTGCTGCTTCTTGCACTAGGACTGCCACCCAGGACCTCAAACTGGATCCAAGTACGGGCAAAGCAACAGAGTCCTGCATCAGTGCTAGCAAAAAGACCCTTGTAATCTCCTTTTGACCAATTGTTTTACTCCTTTACCATCTGTGGGCTTAGAGCTCTGAAAGCAGCTGCTGCTGCTGCTGCTGCTCCTGCTGATTCAGTCACTCCCAAGGCCTGTTCCTGGTCTTCGGGGACCAGGACTGTGCTGGTATGGCCTGTGCTGGAGGCACTCCACTCTTACCCAGGTGTGACAGACCTTTCCTGTTGACCTTCTAAGTTGTCTTTGGCATCTGTGAGCTGAGAAATCTGGAAACCACCCTGCTGTCAGTGATTCAGTCACCCTGAGGCCTGCTCCTGGTTTGCTGGGACCTGGTCTGCACTGGTGTGGCTCTTCTCTCACTCTGGTGCAGAAGGCCTTTCCTGCTGACCTTCCAAGTAGTCAGTCTTAGGCTGGAAATTTGTTTCACTTCATCTTTTAGTGGGTTCTGCTGGTCTAGAATTTGTTTAGAGTCATTTTTTAAAGGTGTTTGGAGGGGTTTAGCGGAGAGCTCAGGTGAGTCCTGCCTTTACTCCTCCATCTTTGCAATATTAATTATTACCAATAATTATCTTGAAAATCAGAAGAATCACAAAATCCAGAATTAGAAAGGACCTTAGAGATCACATAGCCCCACTTCATACTTAGTACAGAAATTCCTTCTGTAACATTTCTTATATTCAACTGATTCTGACTCATAGTAGAAATACTGAGCTTTTCAAGTTGGTCTTGCCTTCCAATTTTGGCCCAGTTCTGAACTCAGGGGAATAAGGTGTTAGAGATAAGAAGTGAACCATATTCAGCTATAGGAGGGAGAAAGGGGACAAGGAGTAAGGAAAGGAGAACAAAACAAGAAAGGAGAATGAACAGAATGCATAATATTCTATTTTTAAATACTATGTCTTCTGGAACAGGGCAAATTGTGGGAAGGTGCTTCTCCACTTTAGCACTTTGTCTAAGCAGGTGGAGGAGGAGGTAGGAGGCAGGACTGATAGGAGATAGACTATGTATGTATAAATATTTGAGTTCCAAATAGGGCTCCTGGTCAGCTAAAAGGCAAATTACATTTGAGTAGTGAGATCATATGACAGCAAATTTCATTATAATCACAGTTGTATCAATTTTAAAATAAATCCTAAAATTTTTCCCCTTTTGCTTCAGAGCTGACAGAGCGGTCCAACATGAGCTGGAGAAGGATCTCAGTGATAAACAGACAGCCTTTCGGATTGATGATAAGTGTCACCACCTGCGAAATACATCAGATGGTATTAGTTATTATAAAGGTGTGGAACGAATCGATGCTACGTAAGTCAAATATATTTTTGAAGTGTCTATGCTAACCTGTTAAACAAGAATTTTGTGTGGCTGCTGCTTTAGTAGTCTTTAGGAATGGCATTAATTATCACAGCCAAATGATTTCTAGACCAATCTCCACTTCCAGTAAAATGGTCAAATTATGCTGTCTTACATACACCATTTCCATAAACCTGATTTTTAAAATGATTTAATGTCACCTTACCTTAATATAAACCTGTAACTATAAGAATGTTGGTCTAATAGTATGATGATTCTATTACGCAGACCAATTGGAGAATAATCAATGATTAGGTAGCAACTAGGTGTCATAGTGGATAGAGCAGTAGACCTGGAGTCAGGAAGACCTGAGTTCAAATGCAACCTCAGATACTTACTAGTTGTGTGACCATGGGCAAGTTACTTAACCTTTCTCAGCCCATTTTCTCATCTGTAAAATAGAGACAATAATAGTACCTTCCAAGATGGTTGTGAGGATAAAATGAAATCATAATTTGTATAATGCTTTATAAATGATAAATGATAAATGCCATGTAAATGCTAGCCATTATTATTACTACTATTAATAATGTAAATACTCTTTATGTATAATCTTATGTCTGCCCTTTTCTCTGATCCCACACTTCCCACTCCAGCCAGGTTGAACCCAATTACTATCTTCCTTAGAACTAGCTCACCTCTTTCTGTACCTGTCATCTCTGGTTTGATTGAGCCCTGGTGTTGGCACCTTTTCCACCCTGAGGCTTCTAATTGCCTTATTTCCAAGGTCTTTTTTTCATGGTTTGCCTGATTTTTCACTAGTTCTTTTGCCTTGATCCAGCATCCACATGCCCTCTATCTCTTGCCTGATCACCACCACACTATCTTACTCAAAATTTTATCTTTTTGCTATTCCTTAGCTCATGACTACTTCCTTGATTTACAACCCACTGCCTGGCCTTGACCTAACTTTCACTGATACCTCATGTTTGTTGCACAAAAGCCCTTTATTCCAACTCTTATTTTACAGATGAGAAAACTGAGACTCAGAGAGATTAAGTGACCTGCCCAAGGGGTCACAAAGATAGTAAGCATCAGAGATAGGGTTTGAACCCAGATCCTCTCATTATGGAGCAAATAGTTTTCTCTAGAAGCTTTGATTTAATTTTCACATACCTCATATGTGTTGTCTTAACTACTCAACTTGTTCCTAAACCCTTGACTGACTCTGACCTCATGTGCTTATGTGTCCCATGGCCTATGACAGCTTGTTAAGGTTTTTTTTTTCCCATCTTCTTTGCCTTAGCCTTTCAGTACATGTGTGTTCCTTGGATTATAATGGTTTGTTTAGTTTCTGTTCTCTAGTTTTATCTTAACCATGGGCTTTCAGGAACTCCACAGTGCCCACTCCTATGTTTGCCCCTTACTCTTAATTTCCAACCTCACTTTCATGATCCTAATTCTGCTCAAAAATTATTTAAGATCAATTATATTAAGATATAATTAATAATAAAAATATTAAGATCAATTATAACTTTAATCTGAATTCCTAATTAATACAACATATAATTATGTGTAGCCTGTCTAGATTTTCATCATTGATTTTGCTTCATTTTCTTAGGATCTCAGTGCCGGAATCATGGGCCAAGTTTACTGATGACAACATTCTTCGTTCTCAGAGTGAAAGGGCAGCTTCTGCCAAACTGAGAAATGATATTGAAAACCTATTGGTTGTGACTGCAAATGAAATGTGGAATCAGTTCAATACAGTCAATGTTGCTTTCACCAATCGCATTTCTGAGACAGGAGATGCCAAAAATAAGATTCAGATGCATTTAGCAAAGGTAAACCATCTCTTTTTAGTATTTCATTACTCATTTGGCCATAACATGAAATAACAAAGCCAAGATCCTGGGTTTTGTCATCATATGGATCAATTATCTTCACTCTATCTAGACTGTAGCCTAACCAAAGCCAGCTCTCTTAGAAATACATGCTATTTTTCACAGAGGTTTATGAATTAGTACAAATCTATCCTGGATGGGACACACACACACACACACACACACACACACACATACACGTCCACTAATGGCATGAGCAAGAGAGACAGAAAATGACAGTCTTTAGTTAAGTAGATCTAAATACCTCAAAATTATAAATACTATAATCATTCATTATAACTAGGAAGTATATGAAAGAAATACTTTTGCACCTGCTTTCTATACAGCAGGCTTTACAGAATACAGCAGCAGCAGCTGCCATGACCTGGAAGAAGGACCTGAAACAGTCCAATCTTCTGCCTCTCAGAGCTCTTTCCTAACTGGTGATACTCTATCTGGATTTATTTCTGAGTAGTTAGCATGCTCTGCATTATTCTCTCCCAATCCCAGTGATTCTGAATATCCCAGCTGCCAATGTACAAACCATGTTCCCCATCCTCAGTTGCTCTCTTCCTTTATACCATCCCCCTCCACCTTATGCTCCTTCAATTGTGGTTCCTGGAACACTTACTCCATAATTAACAAACTTCCTTTGCTCCTAAATCTTTTCCATTTTCTCTCCTTTCATCTTCTAGAACTCACTGAGGCCTGGATTTCTCCTAAAAATTCTGCATCCCTGGATAACCTTTCTGTTACTGGTTGCACTTTCACTCATGCGTCTCCCTGCCTCACTGGTGGTGGTAGAGGACTCGGAATACTCCTTGCCACTTTCATGCTCTCTACCACCATTATTCAACAACACTCCCTCCTTTGAAATTCATGCTATATAAATTTATCATCCAATCCAGGTCCTGGGGTCATTGTTGATTGACCTCCAGGATATTACCTTTCCTAACTCACTGTAGTTGTTTCCACCCCGACTCCTGCCTTCATACTAAAGGGATTCAACATACAAATTGACAAGCCCTCAAATACTCTAACTTCCTAGTTCCTCATTCTACTTAGTTCCTATGATTTATTCTACCACTCCACCTCAGCTATGAAGAGATAATCATACCCTATATATTTGTGAATGCCCAAATTCCTATATCTGATCAGAATCTTTTATCATTTCATTTTTCCCTATGTTTTATGATTCCTAAACTTGTTCTTCAACCTCACTGTGGCTTCTATTCCCTCAAGCCCTCTGGTGTTTTTTTTTAAGTTTCATGAAATTTTTATTTTTTCACATAAATCTATTTTCTTTCCTCACTAGCTCCCATCCCTCATTGAAAGAAAAATAAAAATAAGAACCCTGTAACAAATATCCACAGTCAAGCAAAACAAATTCCCACATTGGGAATATAAATATGATGTTGGCCATGATATATGTATGTGTGTGTATATATGTGTGCATGTATGTATATATATATGTATATACATATATTATATATATATATACACACACACATATACATTTGTGTATATGTTTCTCAATCAGCATTCTGAATCTATCAACTGTCAAGAGGCAGGTAGTAATTTGTAATCATCTGTCCTCTGGAGTCATGATTGGTTATTGTGTTGATCCCAGTTCTTAAGTCTTTCAAAGTTATTTGTCTTTACAATGTTGTTTCAATCACATAAAATTATTCTCCTGCTTCTGCTCATTTCACTCTGCATCAGTTCATACAAATTTTCCTAGGTTCCTCTAAAATTATCTCCATCATTTCTTACAGAACGATATTATTTCATTAGATTCACTTATGTGCCAGTTGTTGAGCCATTCCCCAGTTGATGGGCACCCCTTAGTTTCCAGTTCTTTGCCACTACAAAAAGATATGCTATAAGTATTTTTACCCATATGGGTCATTTTCTTATTTCTTTTGTCTCTTTAATGTGTATCTAATAGTGGCATTGCTGGATCAAAGGGTATGTACTTATTCAGGAATTTTTGGGGCATGGTTCTAAATTGCTTTTCAGAATGGATTGCCCAATTGACAGCTCCATCAAGAATAAATTAAAGTGCCTATTTTCCCACCACCTTTTGTTCTTTGTCAGGCCATAACTCCTGCTCTACCTCTATGATCTTTTCCATATCTCAAGCCCTTGATGAATCAGTTCAGCTCTAAACTATGATCTATTCTTGAATCCCTTGCCCCTTTATTATATCACCAATCATACCTGACCAAATCCCAACCCTGGCTTGCTCCCACCATCTACCTCTTTAACTCCCATTTATATGCAATTGAACTGAGATGAAAAAAGTCACAAAACTTTATTGATTGAGTCACCAAAAATTTTGTGTTACATAAATTCAATTAGGACCTCACTGGAGCAAAACAATCCTTTTACACCTCCCTAACTGATTCACTGTCCCACTGATTCTCCCACTTTTTCCTTTCCTACACCCTCTCAACTGAGGTCCCCATCTCATACTCAACTCAGAAAAAAAGGGGGAGGGACATTTGACAAGAGCTCCTTTTTCCTCTTTTTCCTCATTTCATATTACTCAGGCATCCCCAACTATCTCCTCCTTCCCTCCTACCTCTAATGACATAGTTACCTTTCTCCATGTCAAGGCAAATCACTATACATGCATTTCTTTTCTCATTACCTCCAATCTTCTTCTTATGTCTCCATTATCTTCCCTACCCTCTCCAATCTGATATACCTCCTTATCTACTGGCTCCTTAAAGTACTGTTGCTTAAAAATAAGCCTTCTCTTTTGCCATACTTAAAAATTTCTCATTTGATCCTACTAAGTATGATCCTCTAACTCTCCTTCCCTTCTCAACCAAACTCCTTGAGAAAGCCATCAAAACTAGGCATGTTCATTTCCTCTCCTCCCACTTGCTTTTGAACACTCTGCAGTCCAGCTTCAGACCTTGTCATTCAACTGAAACTACCCTCTCCAGAGTTACCAATTACTTAATTGCCAGATCTAATAGTCTTTTCTCACTGCATCACTTGATACTGTTGATCACCACCTCCTCTTGGATACTGCACTCTCTAGGTTTTCACGACACTGTCCTCTTAAAATTCTCCGCCTATCTAGCTGACTGATCTTTTTCAATATCTTTTGCTTGACATTTATCCATGTTCTGCCCACTAATCATGGGTGACACCAAGGCTCAGTCCTAGGCCTTCTTATCTCTCTTAACTCTCTTTTATCATTTATACACAGATGATTCCCAGATCTATATATCCAACCCTATAGTCCCGTATCACCAACTGCCTTTTGAACGTTTCAAGCTGAATGTTTGAGGCATCTCAAGTCTAACATGTATAAAATAGATCTCATTGTCCTTTCTTTTAACCTATAATTTAAGTGCATTCCTCTAGTGGTGATGTTATTGTCTTTGCCAAGAAATGGATTAATTTATTCACTTATTTATTCATTCAATATTTAAAGAGTTTTTGTAATAATGAAGAGAGACACTATTTCATAGAGCTGATTAAACAAGCAGTTGCCACTCATGCCTTAAGTGATTCATTATTGCATGGAGGTAACCCTAGGATCATGAAGACAATGTCAACAATTTGCAAGTTCTAACAAACCCTACCAAGTGGGAAAGATTCTGAATAAGAAGAGTAACACCGTAACAGACCATAGCATGTCTGTCAATTACAGAGCAGCTGAGCTGAATTTGGAAAGGCCCGTCACCAGGTTAGCTACAGGGTAATGGAATTTTTTTTTTTTAAGCAAGACCTCACTATCTTCTCCCCCTTACCCCAACCCTCCTTCCTTCTTCCCTACTTCCTATTACTGTTGAAGATACTGCCTTCCTCTCAGTCACGAAGATTTGCAACCTCAGTATGATCCTTGACTTCTCATTCATCCCACATATCCATACTGCTGCTAAATCTTGTCACATCTACTTTCACATCTCTCATATGCATTTTCTTCTCTCCATTCTTGCAGGCACTATCTTAGTTTGGGCCCTCATCATATCTCACCTAGAAAAACCTGAAATAGCTTTCTAATTAGCCTCTGTACCTCAAGTCTGTTCCTTTTTTAATCCATTCTCCACTCAGCTGCCAGAATGATTTTTCTAAAGCCTAGTACCCATGGTACTGCTTTGCTTAATGAACTCCAATTATTCCCTATTACCTAGAATAAAGTCTTCTGTTTGACATTTAAAATACTTCATAACCTAGATCTTTTCTACTTTTTCAGCTTTATTACACTTATTACACTCCCCTCCACACAGTCTGTGATCTAGCTTCAGTAGCCTACTGTTTTTTTCACAGGATACTCCATCTCCCAACCACCTCTTGTATGCATACAGGTTGTCCCCCATGCCCCAAACTCTTTCCTTCAACTTACCTCCAAGTCCTTGCTTCCCTGGCTCCCTTCAAGACTCATATCAAATCCCACATTCTGCAAGAGGACTTACCTGTTCCCTTTCCTTTCTCTTCACTCCTCCCTCCCCACCTCCATGTTCCTTTTCCCCTACTGCTAATATCTTCCCCTCTCAAATTACCTGCCATATTCTTTGTCCATATCTTATATGCTCCTAGTTATTTACATCTTATCTCCCTTATTAGAAAATGAGATCTTTAGGGCAACTAGATGGTGCAGTGATTAGAGCTCCAGCCTTGGAGTCTGGAGGACCTGAATTCAAACTTGGCCTCAGATACTTGACACTTAGAAGCTGTGTGACCCTGGGCAAGTCACTTAACCTTGATTGCCCTGCAAAAAAAAAAAAAGACCGTGAGATCTTTTGAGGGCAGGTACTGTTTTTGCCTTTCTCTATCAGTATGCTTAATATGGTGCCTGGAATATATAGTAAGCACTTAGTCAACTACCATTAATTAAGTTCCTGTGCTAAATTCTTGGGATTCAAAGAAAACCAAAAGATAGTCTTTACTCTCAAGAAACTTACAATGTAGTGGAGGAGACTGCATTAAAACAACTATGTACAAACAAGACATATACAGGATAAACTGAAGATAGTCAACTGATCAACATGAAAGAAAAAACAGAAACAGCAAGACAACAAAAAAGAAAATAATGCAATGACCTCCTAAAGGAAGGATCAAATATGAAGAATAAAGAAAAGAAATACAGGCTTCTCCTGTCTGCTTCAAAAGCATCAGTCTTAATGATCTAGTCCACATGATACATGATACCAGTTCATAGTGAGTATCCCAATGTAAATCAGTGACAACGAGCAGGAGAAGCACAAGGATCATCAGGGATGCAGTACAGATGATGATACTTCCAGAATAGTCATAGATCCTTAACATGGTTTAGGGGCATCACTTCTAAGGTAGCTAAGAGGTCATTACCTTCTTGCAGACTTTCCTCAGTGTCAGAGTCTATACTGAGACTTACCTTGTATTACATCCATTCTATGTTCCCTTGGCCCTCATGCCAAGATTGTCGCCATCTTGGGTGCCCCATGGATGGAGAGAAAGAGGGATATCAAATATTGGCTCCTTCAGAGTTCTTTGCTGAGGGATTTCTCCCTTCTTTTGTGGTACCTGGAGAATAATGCAGAGCTACTCTCTTCCTTCCCCTCTTATTAGAAAACAAGGTACTTCCCACCTATGCCACTTCTTGATGCTCCAAACCTCCTTGTGAAAGAGTTGTCTGTTGACTACTGGGTGTTATGCTGATAGCATTGCGGAGTGACCGTATCAGTTCTAGATAAAAAGTAAGCAAAGACTATGATGCAGGCTTGCCAGCACTGTTGCTAGTACCGAGCATTGTCTCCTTGGTAAAAGCTCAAGTTCTGCTTCCTCTGCCACAGCCAAACTCCTCTGAAATGCTACCTTCTTTGCCAAGATTGAGCAATTCCTTAGGCTTCTACCATTGCCCCCCTCTGCCAGGTCTTGGGCATAAATGCAGGTTTGGGTTCTGCTGCTAACTCCCCTTACCTAGTCTACCCAGCTGATGAGGTCAGAAATGACTACAAAGGCAACTTCATGGGTTGTGGACAGCATGGCCAGAGCTGGGTCTCTTCCTGTCAGCGGTCATCCTTTCCAATTTAGAAACTTCTGTGACCTCATTCAATTGAAACTGCTCTCTCCAGTTACTAATGATCTCTTAATCTCCAAATCTAATCAGTTTTAATGAATCTAATGAATCTCCCCCTCTCCTCCTCCCTTTATTCTCTCTCTCTCTCTCTCTGTCTCTCCCCACCCCCAGTGAGTGGTAGTTGGAGGGCCCCTGTGGACCACACACTCAAAGCACCCTCCTCAATATTGCAAAAATGATGACTGCTTACATATAACAGCTAGACTATATATTGTAGCCTAAAGGAGTCTTCTTTTGCTTTATGTGTTTCCCTGAGTATAGGTCAGTCAATCAAAAAGAATTTAGTTAGTACTTACTATGTGCCAGTAACTGTGTTAAGTGCTGGAGATACTGGCAAAAACATGGTTGCTACCCTCAAGGAGCTCATACTCTAATGGATGCTGAATTGGATATTCCTAGCCTTTGTAACAGGCTTGTGAGTTCAGGATGTCAGGAACTCTTCAGTCAGGGCTTTTTGGCAGTAGAAGGAATTTTCTGGTAAACCCAGATCTAGGCTGAGAAAATTCTGGAAGTCTGGACTTAGGTCTGACTTAATTCAGTAAATACATGGGGAAAAGTAAATACTATGGAATGACGAAAGCAATTTCAGATGCTGGTAGTAAGCTGCAGGTGAAAGAGTATTGGACTGGGGTGGAGGGTCAAAAGAAATGGATTTCTCACCAGTCAAAGGAAGACAACAATGGATTAGGCTGTCTAACTCACTTATTTTTAGGTTCAGTTGAAATAACATATATGAACATACTTTGTAAAACTTTATGTACTATACAATATAAGCTATTTTATTATAATTAATCACCTTTACAAATTGCATATCTTACAATAGACTTGCCAGGTAAGTAGTATAAGTACTTTTTATTCCTATTCTACATATGAGGAATTGAAGTTCAGAGTAGTTAAATAACTTGTTAATTGTCACACACCAGTAGAGCTGATATTTGATACAGTCATGTGTCAATTAAGTTATTATTTTGCTGACACCTAATGAAAAGGATTTGCCCATTTCTTTTTACATTAACCTTCCCAACATTCAGGGGAATAGCAATGGAAGATGGCAGAGCTAAATATCTAAAAGGTGACAGATTTCTTAGTGAGAGTAAAATGGGATTCTGTCACACAGAATGGCCATAGAATGGTATCTTAGCTCTTTCTCAAATGAGATGGAGGAACAGTTTTGGAGTGAGGATTATGGTGAAGAGGAAAAACACTGGTAGCACTTGACATGAAGAAGCAACAACTTATAAGAAGAAAAGATCAGCTGGGAGAAAACTCCATGTAGAATTTAACGTTTATTTATATTTTATACTCTCTTAGACACTACAAGAAATCTTCCAAACTGAAATGGCCATAGAAGCAATCCGAAAAGCCATTCGGGACAAAGGAGCACCTTTGAAGGTGGCACAGACTAGACTGGATGAGCGTACAAGAAGAACAAATGTAGAACTGTGCCGAGATACAGCCCAATTACGGTAAGGCAGGTTCATGGTGCAAAGTGACTACTTATGAATGAAGAAAATACTTGTCATACTCTTCATTCATATTTGACTTCAGCTATTGTTGATTGTAGTTTTGTGCCTATGCTTACATGTTTATGATGTTTATTTTTTTTCCAAAGAAGAATTAATCATTTGGAAGGAGTTTGAAATGTTAAGTTTGAAATTTTTTTTAAGATAAAAATGGTTTGACTTCATTTGATGAGGTCTTGATGATATTGAAATGACTTAATCATAAATCTCAGAGTTTTTAGAATTATTATAGGATTTCCCTAGAAGGAAATTAAATTTGATTGTTTTATATGCATTTTACAGTGTCATAAACTTTATGGTACTTCAGTACAGAAGAGCATTCATTTCTATGACATACTAAACATTTCAAAATGATTTACAAAACTAACTTCTCTTATCAGTTTTAATGCTTAGCAAGTCTTAACAGTCATTTAGTTCTTCCTCACGTCTAACTTGAATTTACTTGCACTTTAAACCTATTTCAATTTATTCTGTCCTCAGTGGAAACATAAAATAGTGAATAATTAATATATGTGACTCATATTTGTTATCTCTCCCACATTTCCCTCCCTGGAAAAAAATCTTTGTACCAAATATTCAGTCAAGCAAAACTAATTCAAGCAAAACTAATTACTGCATTGTTCATGTCCAAAAATGTCTCATTGACACTTTGAATCTATTACCTCTGCTTCATAATCAGTTACCTGGACCATGGTTCCAAAGATCAGAGTTCTTAAGTCTTTCTGATTTGTTTGTCTTTATAATATTGTAATAACAGTTGTATAAATTGTTTTGGTTTTGGCTTATACAGGTGTTCCCGGGTTTCTCTGATATTGTTCCTTTGTTGTTCTTGTCAGTCATTCAGTCATGTTCAACTCTTTGTAATCCCACAACCATAGCATACTACCGAAGTCTGTCCAAGCTCATGTTCATTGCTTCGATGACCTTGTCTATCCATCTCATCCTCTGCCATCCCCTTCTCTTTTTGCTTTCAATCTTTCCCAACATCAGAGTCTTTTCCAATGAATCCTGTCCTCTTATTATGTGACCAAAGTATTTAAGCTCCAGCTTCAATATTTGTCCTTCCAGGGAACTTTCATCCCTTCATCCTTTTCATCCCTTTCATCATTTAAAAAAATTATGTAATCAAAAGTGTCCATTAATCTTTTGTGATCTTCTCTATCCCTATTATGTACTATCATGAACCATTCCCCACCCATAGATATGAAAGGAAATTTCTTCCTTGCTCCTCTAATTTGTTTATAATGTTACTCTTTTAGTCCAAGTCATATATACGTTTGAAGCTGTTCATGGCAAATGGTATGAGATGTTTGTATATGCCTAGTTTCTGCCAGACTGTTTTTTAATTTTCCCAGCAGTTTTTACTGAAGAGTAAATTCTTACCCCAATAGCTTGAGTATTTGGAAATATCAAACACTGGGCTTCTGTGTTCATTTGATTTTATACATTGTGTACACAGTCTATTTTTCTATTACTCTCTCTATATCTTAATCAGTTCCAAATTAATTTACAGTTTGCTGCATTGTAATATAGTTTGCTATTTGGTACTGCTAGACCTCCTTTCTCAGTTTTTTTTTTATTATTTCCTTTGAAATTTGTGACCTTTTAGTCTTTCATATGAAGTAATCCTTTCATAGTTCAATAAGTTTAGCACAGATAAGTAAATTAATTCAAAGAGTATAGTAATTTTATTTTATTGGCTCAGCCTACTCAATTAATCTTTATGCCTATTTCCATAAAGAGTATTCTAGAATTGTATTCATCTCATTCCTGTGTATGTCTTGGTAGGTATATTCCTAAGCAAGTTATACATGAAATTTCTCTTTCCATCCATTCCTGCTGGATTTGTTGAGAAAATATAGAAAGGATGACTTTTATGTGAATTTATTTTGCATCATTGAACTTTAGTGAAGTTTTTTAAATTTAATTTCCTTGACTCTCTAGAACTTGCTAAGTAAAGCCAGTAAAAATCAATACTTTTGTTTCCTTTTTAGCCTGTGATTATTCCCTTATTTTCTCTTACCTGTCATTGCTATAGCTTGTGTTTCTAGCACCACATCAAGCAGTAGTGTTGATAATGAACATAATTGCTTTATCCTTGATCTTAATTGGGAAGACTTCTACTTTATCCCTATTACATATAATGCTGGCTCTTCACTTTAGATAAATAATACATACTGTATTAAGTTCCATTTATTTCTGTTGGTGGGCATAACACCAGCATCCTCTTAGTTCACGTTCAATATTAGGATGAAATGAAGTACTTGAAAGTCATTGAACAGTTAAGAAAAGGAAATTAATTTTGCCCTAACATGACCAAAGATATATATAACAAGGATACCATGGCACTTAAAGGGGCACCAAATTCCTCTGGATGGGACTTTTTTATGCCCTAAGATGACCTAGAAACTGTATCAAGGGAGACCTGGGCCAACCACATTCCAGAGACAATTTAGTTTTCTTGGGAAAACTAATTCCTGTGGTAGAGAAATGGGGGAACCTGATCTAATTTTTTTTAAACAGTAGGAGGTATTGCATCTTTTCAAAAGAGTTTATTTTGTTTATGACCAATATATCCCTAAATCAACCCTTCCTCTTATTTCTCTCTCTCCTCTCCCAGTTTCCTCCTTTCCCCATTTGGTCAAATGTATTTCTATAATAAACTCTGTACGTGTTCCACCCTACTCTGATTGGTTCGTATGAAAGTGAGGTTTAAGAGACACTCAGTGCCCCACCCATTTCTCTGTGTGTACGCTTTACTTGTTCATACTGATTAAAGAAGATAATAAATTCCCCTACAGTTTGTCCTTCTTTCTTCCTTGATATATTCCTTTTCCCTTCCCTTTCCTATTTTAAGATTATATAAACACAACAACACTACTCCAAAGGTCTCTATTTTAATATAACTCATTTCATAAATCCTGCTGACATTTTGCTTCTCAGAGGAAACTTGTTTTTTTCTCCCTGTTAGGATGCAAACATTTCCTCCTTTGTTCCTCCAATCCCTTCTGATTGCTCACTTTTATTTTCAGTTTTTATGTTTCTCTTGACTCTTTTGTTTGTATTTCTAAATTTCTATTCAGTTCTGGGTTTTTTTTCATTTTTTCATGTTTAAAAGTCCTTATTTTATCAAAGGTCCATTCTTTTTCTCCTATAGGAGCATATATTCAATTTTTCTGGGTAAATTGTTCTTGGTTACATCTATTTCTTCAGCCTTTTGGAAAATTATATTACAAGCTCTTTGTCCCTCATAGGGATAGCCATTAAATTTTGTGTAGTCCTGACCGTGGCTTCTCAATTCTTGAACTTTCTTTCTGGATGCTTACATCTTTTCTTTGACCTTAAAGCTCTGGATTTTGGCTATGATTCCTAGGATATTTTCCCCCCCAACAGGTCAGCACTTGTCAGCATATATTTGATTTATTATTACCACAGATGTCCAAGGGGGGGTGTATTATCAAACAAACTGTGACTGATGAATGAACCATTCACATTTTCACTGTACTAGCCACTTGTACTTTAGACATTCATCACTTAACTTTGAGACAAACCCTTATGGGATCAACCAGAAAGGACGAACAGTCTTTGAATCTTTTCACTGGTCAGTCTTCTCACTGAACAATATGGGTTTTTGTCTACTGTCTGTAAATAGAAAGAGGGCACTTATACAATAAAGAAAGGGCTACAAAAGCTCTGAAACAAGAGTACTTAACCTGGATCTGTGAGCTTTTTTTTCCTTAATAACTATGTTTCATTATAATTAGTTTCCTTTATAATCCTACAAGTTCTATTTTATGCATTTAAAACATTATTCTGAGAAGGGTCAATAGGTTTCACCAAACTGCTTAAAGGGGTCCATGACACAAAAAGGTAAAGAGCCTCTGATCTAAAAGCTCCAGGAGGGTGGGTGACATGTCAATGGTTGATGCTTCCCAATTTTTCTGGAAGACATACCATCCAAAATCCCCAATGGAAACTCCTAAATGGTAAGACTGAGGCACTGAATTTTAAAGAAACAAGCTTTTAGGTGCCCTTCTGGGGGTAGTTTATGGTGAAAACCATCATAGTATAGTGGAAACAACACAAGATATGAAGTCAGTATTCCTGAATTCAAATCCCAGCCCTGCCACTTGTTTTCTCTGTGCTCTAGTTTCTTCAACTTGCAGGGAATTAGATGATCTCTAAAGTCTCTTCTTTAGGTAATATAAACCAATCATCTTGAGATGATAAGAAGAAGAATGTCTGTAGGTAATCACGATGGGCATTAGGAAAGCACAACAGAAAAAAATCAGAAAATAGAACAACTCTGCCACATCTCAGTGGTATTAGTCATAATGTTTAATTCAGTCCAGGGAAGCTAAGCATAATGCAGTGCTCAAAACCATAGGAAAAGCTAATCAGAGAATTTTTTGAGCAGAACCAAGAATACCATGTCAGAATAGTATTTTTGATTTGAGTTAGAGACTTGGAACTTGAACTCATAAGACTTCATGTCCAGTGTTCTTTCTACCATACCACATTATCTGCCCATCTTCCTATGACTCAATATTTATTTGTACTTGTGTGATCCAATACTCTATGAAATACTGTTTTATAAACATACATACAAAAACAATAGTAACTATATGTCCTACGATCATTCATTAAATAGCATATGAATTAAATTTAACTGGAAACCAGCCATGGGATCATGGAGCTTCTGTTTATTATTATTTTGCAGCCTTGTTAATGAAGTTCATGAAATTGATGACACAATCCAGAGTCTGCAGCAGCGATTGAGAGATGCTGAGGACACCCTACAAGCACTGGTCCATGCCAAAGCTATGCTGGAACATGACCTGGCTGTCAAATCAAACTCTCTCTTTATTGACCAGGAAAAATGCATGGGAATGCGCAAAAGCTATCCTAGCACTCTCAGGCTGGTGGGATACTCATAAATGTTTTTACCTGAGCATTTAATGCATTAAACAAAAACAAGACTCTGAGGGTTCTATTATAAGATTGTAAAAAAACAGTGTGAGAATATTTTAATTCATTAAAGAATACTCTTAATATAAATTAAATGATTCAGGTTTGTATTACCTTTTCCTTGTTGTTTCCAAGAAAAATGCATTCATAGTTTTTTTTTTTAGTGACTTCTATAGCCTTCAAGGGCTCTCAGAACTGTGTGGAAACCAACTCTCCATTCAAAGAATTTATAATCTAGCTAGAAGATGAGTCATAGACATGTGAAGATGCTTTACAATATAAGGCAATAAATAATGCTAAATAAGTGCTATAGATGGTAAATAGAGTTGGGGAAAATGAAAGGTGAGGGGTGGCAGTGAATAGGAAAGACTTGGAATTTGAGTGGGACCTTGAAAAGAATAGGTAGAATCTATATAAGTGGAAAGAAAAGGTAAAGGACCAATCCAGGTAGAGGGAAACCTTGAATAGAAGTGCAAAGATGGTAAATTAAAACTCTTCAAGGTACAGTGATTAGACCAATTTGACTGGACCCCTATTCAATAAACTCCATTTCCTCCCTTTTAGCTCTGGGGTTAAATAAAAATCAGCTGTTTGGTTTTTAAAAGCCTTTTATAACATGGTTCTTTCTAGCTTTCTAATCTTCTTATTAGACCTTACTCCCTTCCATATATTCTATAATCCAGTAACACTGACCTCTTTGCTGTTTCTCATACACAAGTCTCTGTATCTCCCAACCATTTGTTTTCACTGGTTGTCCCCCATGCCTAGGATTCTTTCCCTCTTCATCTCCTATTCCTGGACTGCCTAGCTTCAAGTCTCAGCTAAAAATCCCACTTTCTATAAAAATGGCAATGTTTCACCTCAGAGATTATCTTCATATTATCCTGTATTTATTTTATTTGTCCATGGTTGGTTGCATGTCATCTCCACATTAGACTCCAAACTTTTTGAAAATAGGGATTGTTTTGCCTTTGTGTCCCTGTTACTTAGCACAGTATCTAGCACATAGCAGCACTTAAATGTTTATTGACAAGTCAAGACTTGTTCAGGACAATATTGGAAGATATGTTTGGAAAGTTAAATTGGGAACAAATTATGGAGAGCCTTGAATGCCAAGTTGAGTTATTTGGACTTGCTTGTGTAGAATTTTTTAAAAATACAGCATTGGTTCCTATTTAGTGGTTCATGAACCCCTTAAGGACTAGTGAAGGTACAAGGGATTTGTGCTAAAAATGTTTAATGGAATCATAAGCAACAAATAATTGTTCAATTATGTTACAAATATGTGACAACATACATGTACATGTTTGAGACATTATATGTTTGCTTCTGCAGTTATTTGGAAATAATATAATTATGTACACAACAATTTTTGTATTCATTAAAAGATTACATCAAACCCTGACTGTTTATAACTAAGCATAAATATGTCCTTGCAGTTTATCAACTTGTCATCAAATTGTTTCCAAACCACCATTGAGGTTCAACATTTAAGTACAAAGTGATTCCCAGTGAGTGATCAGACACATGTGCACACCCTCAGTTGCATACTGCATATGGCAATAGAATAGCTCCCTCATTTCCTTCTGTTACCCTGTAATCATACCTCATCAGCTGTAATTATGATGTTACAAACATTTTCATTTTTTTAGCACAAATGTCAGAATGTTTGAAAATGATGATTGCTGGGCACACACATTATAGCTTCTTGAAACCATCACAAATATTCTGCAAAACAAACTTTATATTGCCTTTCATTGCAGTGTAAAGTTGTATTCCCATTTAAATGTATTCTCTACTTACTTTACTATTTTTCTACCTGGTAGATTTTCAAAGGAGCTGGTTGGCAATATTGGTCAGTTATTCAGTAGAGTTTCCGAGAGAATGTAGCTGGTGTGCCAGTGGTACAGAAAAAAAGTCATGTTTGAAGAGATTCTTCCTTATAAAGATTAGTTTATATATAAATATTGATAAAAAATAAAGCAATATGTGAAATTGAACTTTGCAATCACAGTTTAATATAACACTTGTTAACCAGTAGAAAAGTAAATATTTTATACTGCAACTATCCATTTTCATTAACTAATTAGGTAGCCATGTCTTGTGGAGTCCACATACACCAGTAATGGCATCATTTAGCTGAGAGTAGGAGGCAGGACAAAGAGAGAGGAGGAAGTGTCCCAATAGATAATAGTCTATTGTTACGATACAAAACCCCTTGGAAAGATACACATCTTCATCAATTGTGCTAGTACAAGATTATTACATATTTAATAAGTATTGAATGTAAAAAAAGAATTTTTGTAGAAATCTATTTTAAAAAAATTATGGCAGCCCTAATGGATTATTCAAGATATTGGAAGTGTTTTTTTTTAAAAAAAGAATATTAAAAGATGTATTAATGAGGAATTTCAAAATATTAATTTAGATTTAGCACACTGCAATGAGGAAATTAGTAAAAATTACTTAATAGGTCACAAATATTTGAGATACTTTTGTATTGTAATGTGAGAAGTATGGGAAAGGTTATAATGAAGGATACATTAAATTTGCTTTTTAATTTCTTAGAGATAATGTCTATGACCACAATGTTTAATTTCTGGAGAAATTCTTGCAAATAATGGCTTAAATCCTTCTCTTTTGTCTCAATGTTTATCATCAAAACATGAAAACTGTTGATAAACCTTTTGATTTTTTTGGATGGACAGAACAAGATTGGAAAACACACAATACTGATTTTTCTATTTCTGTAAATAAGAAAGTAGAAAAGTGATTGAATTTTCATACCTAGTAAATTATCAAATTGCAAAAATATGGGGAAGTTCCTACTATTTCATAAAAACTAATTTTTTCCATATGCCAAAGCAATTGTCAAGTTTATGTTTGGAGATGATTCCAGCAAAATGTTTAAGATATTACACATTTCTAAGACCACAGTGTCTCATCAGATATATGATGTATCCAATGATGTTAGATCAGTGGTTGTAGAGTTTTTTAAAAAGTGACAATTTGATAAGAAAACAGATGTGTGTAACCTAGCAATTTTAATTGCATTCATAAGATATCTACATTATGGAACAAAACGATCACTTTTTACAGGCTTAGAAGATAATCAAAATAAATGTACTATATTAATAAATAATAACATTAATTAGCATTGTAAATAATATCAATCACATAAATCATCAGCATTTCTATATATTACTAACAAAGCCAACAAAGAGAAATTATACTTAATATATCTACCTATATGATTTATATTATATCTAATATATCCTATATATAGTATATGCTTCATGTATATATAGATCTACCTTCTGTATTTACATATAATATTTGTGCATATATATAATAAACTATATATTAAATTGAATTTCTCTTTCTCTCCTTATTACGTTTTGTTAGTAATATACAGAAATGCTGATAATTTGTGTGGATTTATTTTATATCCCGTAACTTTGCTAAAATTGTTTATTATTTTGACTAATTTTTTAGTTGACTCTTTAGAGTTCTCGAAGTAAATCATCATAACATCTGCAAAAAGTGATAGTTTTGTTGCCTCCTTTCCTATACATATTCCTTCAATTTCTTTTTCTTGTCTTATTGCTGTAGCTAGCATTCCTAGTATAATGTTGATAGAAATGGTGACAATGGACGTCCTTGCTCGTTCTTATTGGAAAGGCTTCTAGCTTATTCTCATTACAGTTAATGCTGCCTCTTGGTTTTAGATAAATGCAGTTTATCATTTTAAAGAAAGCTTTGTTTATTCCTATGCTTTCTAATTTTTTTTTAACAGGAATGGATTTGTATTTTGTCAAAAGTTCTTTTGGCATCTATAATATAATCTTTTGATTTTTGTTCGTTTTGTCTCTAATGTGGTCAATTATTGCTTTCCTAATATTGAACCAGCCTGGCACTCCTAGTAAAAATATAGCCTGGTCACAATCTATGATGTTTTTGACATATAGTTGAAGTCTCCTTGCTAATGTTATTTAAAATTCATTAGGGATTTTGGCCTATAGTTTTCTTTTAGTTTTGGCTCTCCCTGATTTAGGTGTCAAGACCATATTTATGTCATAGAAGAAATTTATTAAGACCCCTTCTTTTCTTCACCTATTTTTAAAAATAGTTTATGTAATATTAGAATGGATTGTTCTTTAAATGTCTGAAAGAATTCACTTGTAAATCCATCTGGTTCTGGGTTGTTTTTTTTCCCTTTGGGAGTTCCTACATGGCTTGTTCAATTTCTTTTTAAAGATAGGGTTATTTAAGTACTCTTTTAATCTGGGCAATTTGTAGTTTTAAAAATATTCATTAATATCAGTTAGTTTGTAGTTTTTATTTGCATATGCTCAGGTGAAATATCTCTTAGTACCTTCTTTTATTTCTTCTCTACTGCTTATGAATTCACTCTTTTCATTTTTGTTACTGTTAATTCTTTTTTTTCATCAGATTGGCTTTTCTACTTTATTGGATTTTTTTTCCAAAATAAAAAAAAGCTTCTAGTTTTATTTATTATTTCAATGGGACTTTTTTTTTTATAATTTTGTTAAATTTTCCTTTGGTTTTTATGATTTCTATTTGGTTGTTTAATTAGGGTTATTAAATTTGTTGGTTTTTCTTTTTTTTTTTACCTAAATGGTCAATTTATTGATCTATTCTTTCTCTTTTCTAATGATTCAGTTTTAAATTTTCCCCTGAAAATTTTTTTGGCTGCTTCCCAAAAATTTTGGTTATGTCTTAGTATTGTCATTATCATTAATGAAATTGATTATTGTGTCTTTGATTTTTTTTTCCTTATCCATACATCCATTCTTAAGTTATTTAGTTCCAATTAAGTTTTAGTCTTTTCTTCAAAGGCCTTTTATTAAATGCAAGTTTTGTTGCATGAAACATGCATTTAATATTTCTGCTTTTCAACATTTGTGAGATTTTTATGCCCTAATATGTGTCTCTCTCTCCATCTCTTGCCCCTTGGTTCAGCCTCCCACCTCCCCACTTTAAAAAAAAACAAACCTAAAAAGCACTCCAAGTGAATGCAGAAGAATGGATAGGTGAAGAGACTGCCACCTCCTCTGGATCAGGACTTGGCTTAAGACTTCTGAGAGAGGAGACCTTTGTTCACCTACCCACCCATCCTTCTGCACTCAGTACCATGTGTCTGTTCCCAGTTCCATGTGCCATCCATCCTCTCTTGTATATGTCTCTGTCTGTCCCCCACATATCACACATACACACACAAATTTTCCCCCTTCTCTGTCCCTGGCCCCATATCCCTGAAATGTGCGCAAGCCCCTCCATCCATGGGTGGGTGGAGTCTCTTTCCTGCCTCCATCCCTTCCTCCCTTCCCCACATCTATGGACAAATTTGCATTACATAAAAATTGTTTTATGTAGAGGTCTGTGAAATGGTCCACTTACATAAAGTGAGAACTGTCTATAATCTTCCCCCTTTCGACAAGTTAAGTGTTCTTTCCTGTTGTGCTGCCCAATACCATTTGCTGCTTAGTTCTTTGGCCCAGCACTGGCAGTTTGGAGCTTTATAGCACTGGTACCTTGGGGTTATTGCCTCAGCACCCTCTCTGCTGGTGCTATGGGGTTATGACCCCTGACAAGCTGTTGCTCCTAAAGACCTACTGCCATGTCATTTCATGGCCAAGGCACCTTTATAGGAGAGCTTGGAATATGATCTTCCAGGAAGCAAAGGATCTAGGCTTAAAACCAAGAATTACTTACCCTACCCCCCCAAAAAAAAAAACTGATGATGAAATTGTGGTTCATTTGTCACCTGCTCCTCCCACAACTGACTCCTCTTTGTTATATAGGTTTCTACTCATGTACCACATTTATATAAAATAATTTTCCCCTTTCTTCCCCTCCTTTTTTCTCTCTCCCAATGTATTCCTCTTGCCTACCTTTTCCATTCTTTAATATTTTAATATCGAAACACAAAAGAATCACACAATACACTCTCAGCTCTCTCTCTAGTTATACTCCCTCTGTAATCCATTTTGAGGGACTATGTGATCCCCATATAAAAATGTAAGCAGTTTAATTTTGTTTAGTCCCTTATGATTGCTTGTTCATGTTTACCTTTGTATGCTTCTCTTGACTTCCATGTTTGTATATCAAATTTTTTATTCATCTTGGTTCTTTTCATAAGGAATTATTTTTGTAAATATTCATCCATTTCACTAAGATTGTCAAATTTATTGGCATACAGTTGGGCAAAATAGCTCCTAATTATTGTTTTAATTTCCTCTTTATTGGTGGTGAGTTCACCCTTTTCATTTTTTATACTGGTAGTTGGGTTTTCTTCTTTCTTTTTTTTTAAATCAAATTAACCAAAGGTTTATCTATTTTATTGTTTTCTTCATAAAACTAGCCCTTAATTTTATTTATTAGTTGGATAGTTTTCTTAATTTCAATTTCATTAATCTCTCCTTTGGTTTTCAGTATTTCTAATTTGGTATTTAAGTGGTGATTTTTAATTTGTTCTTTTTCTAGCTTTTTTAGTTACATGCCCAATTCATTGATCTCTTCTTTCTCTATTTTATTCATGTAAACATTTAGAGATATAAAATTTCCCCTAAGAACTGCTTTCACAGCATCCCATAAGTTTTGGTATGTTGACTCATTGTTGTCATTCTTTTGTATGAATTTATTCATTGTTTCTATGATTTGTTGTTTGACCTACTCATTCTTTAGGATTAAATTATTTCATTTCCAGTTAATTTTCTAGTCTTATCTTTCCATGGCCCTTTATTACATGTAATTTTTCTTGCATCATGATCTGGAAAAGATGCATTTAATATTTATGCCTTTCTGCACCAGATTGTAATATTTTTATGCCCTAATACATGGCCAATTTTTGTGTAGGTGCCACGTACCACTGAGAAAAAGGTATATTCCTTCCTATCCCTATTCAATTTTCTCCAGAGGTCTACCATATCTAACTATTCTAAAATTCTATTCACCTCCTTAACTTTTTTTTTGTTTATTTTGTGGTTAGATTTATCTAGTTCAGAGAGGGAAAGGTTGAGATCCCCCACTAGTGTAGTTTTGCTGTCTATGTCTTCCTGTAATTCCCTTAACTTCTCCTCTAAGAATTTAGGTGCTATACCACTTGGTGCATATATGTTTAGTAATGATATTACTTCATTGTCTCTGGTACCTTTTACTAGGTTGTAGTTTGCTTCCTTATTTCTTTTAATTAGATCTATTTTTGCTTTTGCTTTGTCTGAGATCAGTATTGCCATCCCTGCTTTTTTTTACTTCAACTGAAGCATAATATATTCTGCACCAGCCTTTTACCTTTACTCTGTGTGTATCCCTATGTTTCAAATGTGTTTGTTGTAAACAACATATTGTAAGATCATAGTTTTTAATCCATTCTGCTATCCATATCCATTTTATGTGAGAGTTCATTCCATTCACATTCATAGTTATGATTACTATCTGTGTCTTTCTCTCCATCTTATTCCTCCCCACCCCAGCCATTTATGCTTTTCTTTCTCCTTTCTCCCTTTCCCTCCTCACTAGTGTTTGCTTTTGAACACCACCTCCCTCAATCTCCCCTCCCTTTTATCAGCCCCCTTCCTTTTCTTTCCTTTTCCCCTACTACTTCTTCCCCCCCTTTCCATCCACCCATTCTTTTTTTCTTTCCCTTTTCCCATCCTACTTCCTATATGGCAAGGTAGATTTCTATACCTGAATATGTTATTCCTTCCTTGAGCCAAATCTGATGAGAGTAAGGCTCAAATAATGCTCATCTCTCTCCCTTGTTTCCCTTTACTGTAATAGGTCTTTGTGCCTCTTCATGTGATGTAATTTACCCTTTTGTGCCTCCTCCTTTCCTCTTCTCCAAGTAAAATCCCTTTTCACCACTTAAATTAGCTTTTTTATCATCACATCAAAGTCAACTTATACCCACACCTTCTGTCTATGTATACCCCTTCTAAATGTCATAATAAAGATACAGTTCTCAAGAGTTACAAGTATCATCTCCCCATGTAGGGATGTAAACAGTTTGCCCTTGTTGAATAATATGTGGGTTTTTTTCTTTTCTGTTTACCTTTTTCTACCTTTCTTGAGTCTTGTATTTGAAGATCAACTTTTCCATTGAGCTCTGATCTTTTCATCAGGAAGGTTTGGAAGTCCCTTC